ATCGCGGATCGGTGGAATTTGCGAATGGGGAAAGATGCGAATTGTGAAGACTCGAATGCGTATGTGTGTTGCCCGTACGACCGAACAAACCCAACAATTACTTTTCCTGGGCCGAAGGAATCGGGGTATCCCCCTGCTCCCCGGTGAAGGTCATAACTGCTAGATCCCTTAATCTCTCGTTTCGAGTGACGTCGGATCCCTTCTCGAAGTAGACTAATGCCGCATCATCATGCTTTTGGCTTCATGCTCGGCTGCTGCTGGAGCCGTTGTGGTTAACGAGTTTCGTTAACGAAAACTCTCGCTGCGTTCGCATAGCCCCTCAAAAACGACAGATAATATCCATCGACGATATTCGTTCTGCGCTGGATAGATCGCACCTCGGGAGCGATGCTACGAAGCACTTCACTGGGAGCGATACGCCCGATACGAATACGAAAACGTGTCTGGTCCCAGAGTGCTCGTGGGTCGTTTCCCTCTCGGTGGAGGAGCCGAAGCGACGCCCTCCTCGTCGAGCTGAACATCGCTCCCCGCGAATTTTGCTGATGAGTCTTCCAGGAACGAAATATTCTCCGGCTCGGGGAACCGAATGCGTAAACACGTCGAAATGCGTCTCCGCAGCGGAGGCCTGCCATCGGCCGTTGCCCATGCCTATCGAAGTGCGGGGAGCGGGAGACAAGCACCCGCGATCGGAGATTTGCAAGCGACATCTGACTTGGTGTAGCGGACGGAAGTGTCGGATAAAAGACGTCGTCACCATAAAAACGCCACTTCTTTGAGCTTTCAATGACCAGATCCAGAGCACACGGATCGCTTCGCGCGCCGTCTGCATAAGCTCGAAGATCAAGGTCGCCTCGACTCAGCTCTATTGGTTCTCGAAATGAGCGGAAGGTGTTCGGTCGGCACAGTGATCGGCTCGGTCTTGGAACCTTTTCGAGTAGGGAATCGTTGCTATTTGAGACTCTTCGGATCTTATATCTATGAAGGTGTATTTGCTGCTCCATCCGTTACTCGAGACGACTTGTGCCTCGGAGCTTGCGACCAAACGAGCGTCGGGAGCTTCTGCAGCGAGGAGGAAACTCAGTGAGCAGGCCTGTAGGCATCCCCTGCCTGGTCCCATTAAGGCCTCATTAAACAACATTAGGCTCGTGTTGAATGACTTTTTGATGGCCCACATCTACCTACCTATCTGCCTACTGCCGACCCGCTGCAATTGAAGGAGCCGACCAGCGAAGGCTGTCGTCTTTCCCATGATGGGAACTTCTTAGTGCCTCTCAGCTCGAGATATTCGCCGACCTCGTGAGCGGATTAGAACCAACGACATTCTTCGTAGAGCACCGGAAAGCCGGCGAGATGGTCCCTCATTCTAATGTAAGCTGTCCAGTCGAAGGGAACTTTCGGTCTCAGGCGCGATAAGGAAGAGGTTCGGTAATCTGCGGAAAACCGCAAGAACATCGTTTGCGAACCTTCGGGCGTTCTGCCGAGTTCCAAAAGTCGCATCTGTTCGGTCGAGAACGCAGTACGAAATGTTTTGAACAAAAAGCCGGGTAACCTTTTGAAGAGAGTTTAATTAGTCGGCTGCCGCTCCGCTGCTTGTCGCCGCAGGCGAAAGCAGCTTTCGCGCATGAGCGAAAGCCTGTGCTCTCACCTGGCTCGCAATATCATATCATGTGGCTAGGGTCCGAAAAGATTCGTTCCGTCGTAATCAAAGCCCCGATCCTTGCTTAGGCTTCTCGAGCCTCGCGAGAAAAGGAAGGCGGCATTTAAATCTAATAGTTGCTAGGAACTGCAGATCCGACGTCGCTGATCAATTTTTCGCTGTCCGAGAGTTTCGGGGAAGAGGCAATGAGGAAGTCACGAGATCCTTGCGCCGGAGACGTCGGAGAGGCGATAAGAAATCCGCTCCGTTGGCCTCCGTGTAAGGGATGACTCGAGGCTGCCGAGTGGGGGCACTAAAGAGAATACCGATAACAGTCGACGCGGGGTGGCCAGTAGTGGCAATGCGGGGGATTTTTGCTGCGTTCTTCAGCGACTTAAAGAATGAGGTCTCCATTTTGTCCGCTCCGTGGCAATTCCGAAGCTCCGAAGCAACAAAGAGTGGCCTCTAGATGTATTTCAGGCGTGGAGGGCTGGGGTAAGAGTTGAGTGGAGGAAATGGGGCCTCTGGCTGAAGAAAAAGCGTTCGTTCCATTTGTATCTCACAATGGTTCGGCCCTCCGTGCTACAGTCGAAACCGAAGACATTTGTCGCCGTCCCCAGCGAAACTTTTACGGAGTCAACCGACCAACCGCAAATGCTTTTAGCTTCGGAGCGAGTCAACGGGAGAGAGCCGGGCATCTGAATACTTTGAGGATTCGATTCTCCAAAAAATCCTGGCAGCTGCTTCTTCCTTCCATGCGGAAACGACGGTCCAATCCGGAAAGCTCTTCTGAGCGCGTGCGCGATGAACTCCAGAGGAGCGAGAATTCGCGAGAATTTCTTTATCTTGCTGCTGTCAGCAGCTCTGACTTGTGGTGACGACGAACTTTCCGAGTACCCATAGATATCGCTGCGGCGAATAGGACGCGTGCCACGAATGAGTTCTGCTGGAGCTACGACCCTCCCATATTTTAACATGAGTCGTCCTGAAGTTGGTCGCGCTGCTGACTCAGCTGTGTCGCCAGCTGTTCCTTCCTCTTCCCCAGTCCTACTGCCTTCATCCCCACTTGAAGAGAGCCACGAATTTCGAGGGACGGGCGAAATTTTTTTCCTGAATGCAGTCCGCGATCAGCCATTGGTCTCGCCGCACGCGTCTGAGATTCGGGAACCGCGGACGGCTGACTCCTGAATGCTTGCGGACTGGATTTGTTCCGGTCGGGTGTCAGGCCTATTAGGGAGGAAGGTTTCATCGATATTCACGGTAGCGGTTCACGAGCCAAAGGGCAGGTTCCGCCATGCACCTCCACACCGTCGAATCCTGACATCCCGATGTCACCTCGGATCTTTTGTGCTGGGTCCCCTGACTGACTGATCATTGAGAATGGATCCGATGAAGTCATGGGAATTTCTAATTATTCCTGATTCGACCGAAGGGAATTCTTCAGACGCCAAGGGCTCAGTCAGACATGAATCTTTGAAAGGAATTCTCATCCGGCTCCCTTCGACTCCAGCTCTTGCGGATCCTGCGCGATCTTTGACATCGATTTCGCCTTCAGCGTCTGGCCCGACTCCTTGAGTTAAATCTAATTTCTAATTGATGCAGGTCCTCGCCGCACCGACTCGGACAGCGCATCGGAGACCGCCGCTCGACTTGCTCTCCTCCATTGAGAGAAATTCCTATCGAGAGCATCGGTGCTTCCTCCGCCTCGCGGTCCACCAGGTCTGACTGAGGAACACGGCAGGAAATTTGACTCTTGTACCCTCATTAAAAGTCATTACATGTCGTTGCTCTGGAATGGCGCGGCCGAAGACCGCTGCCCGGAGCACTCGAGCCCGAGGCCTCGCAAGCTCAAGGTAATGATGCGAACCTCAGGTGAGTCTTACGCTCGATTGCGAGCACGTGAGATCTGATGCCTCTGACGGTTGTGAAGAAGAGCGGAAAGTCGCTGATTGCAAAGCGAGTCCAGACCGACTTCCTGAGCTCGGAGAGCGTCCAAGGAACCAGGCACAGCATCTTTTTTATTCACAACCGACGTGAATGGGGTAGTCTCGCCGAGGGCGACGCCGATGATCGAGTGCGATCACCACGCGGCCTTGGGATCGTTCCCGATGATTGAATGTTGAATCACCTTACGTCCTTTTGTCTTATCGAGTTGTTGATACGTGCGTCACGCGCAATGCCCGCGACTGACATATCTCGCGAATAGGTGAGCATACCAAAGAATACCAAGCAGCACTAAGTCGGGAAGGATATAGGAACAGGCTTCACACGGGAGCGAGTCCGGAGGCATCGATAGGGGCTGTGTGATACTCCGAGCAAGAGGATCACCTCAGCACAAAACCGGAATTCACAATTCGCGATCCGACTCGGATAGTCTCGCCATAGCCTAAGAGCCTAAGAGTCCTTCGCGGGATTCGTGTTCGGCAGTTGCCGAAGTAGAGGAGTCAGCCCACGCAAGCCTGTAGCCGTAGGGAGTCACCTCGTCAGCATAGATGTCATGAAGATCAAGGAATTCGCCTTCGTAGCTCCTCGACATTCAATCAGTTCTCCTCCGGATTCCATTGGCGCTCCTCAGCGCGCTGCAAGGGTCCTCCGAAGAATGAGTCGGAGGTCGATTCTTGACGAATCTTCATCGTGGTTCTGAATCCTCCCGACCCGCGCTTTGCTGACCGGAGTTGAGATCACGGTGAATCTTTGATCTCATATCGTGTGGTGTATTGCCAATCCGATCCACGGCGACATTAGAGCGCAATACCTTGATTAAATGCAATAGTAATTCGAGCATATTTAGATTTCCGATAGGGTAGAGGTCTGAATGTCAAGCAAAGCTATCTGCTCACGATC